CTGCTGTATTTGTAACAGGAATGTGTGCTGCACATCCCTTTTTGCCGTTTTCCTGAGCTCATCCCCACTCCCATTTTCCCTGGAGCTGGGCTCCTCGCTGGAGAATTCCCGTGTACTTTTGGTCAGCCAGCACTCTCTGTGGCCAGCAATCCTGGCATCTCCTAGCAGGGCTTCTGGGAGCAGCAAAGGACCGGATAAGGATGACCGTGCAATCAAGACATGAGCTCAAGGGCTTCAACAGGAACCCAAGCCACAGAGGGGAGGGATGTGACTTCTGGATTGTGGCGTGAGGAGTTGCTCAGAGGGCCCCCACGCTAGCTGCATAAGCCTCCTGTAGGGCAATGTTCATTTTCAGGTTGTCAGTTCGGGCTTTACGATGGCTCTTAAACTCGTTAAGACTGTTGCTTAACTATTTCCCCTTCTTTTCACTGGCCCGCCTCACCCCATAACCACAGATGCAGGCCACGGGAGCAGAAGTTTACAGTGCAGAGGGAGATGCTCCACAACGCCCAAGGACCCAAGGGCTGAGGGATGGAAGGACGGGGAGGGAGACCACAGGCTGCCACTGGTCGGGGCATCGTTCAGATCTCTCTGGCAAAGACTAAAATGCTCTCTTCTCCCCATCCCCTCACCTCAATGGAGGTGCTTCACAGAACGCCTCTTACTTTCTTTGCCCCTTTCTCAAGATGACTTCCTCCAATGCACTCAACCCATCACCATGCCTGCAGCTGTCACAGAATATACAAGTGGGACTGAGGGACCAAAAGTGGCCTTTCTCCAAAGTTTAAGATGAAAACAAAAGCAAACAGCAACTGCTGGTCCCCCTGGGCCAAACACAGGTGTGCAGCAGGGGGTGTTAAAAATTAAACGTGCCCCTTTCTGGTACTGCCATCAAGTCGAAAACAACTCAGCTTCGACTCCGTGCTAGACAGAGCCAATGGTGGAATTTTTCCATCGCTGGGAAACTGTGCCAGCATGGGAAAACAAGTCTGGACACATTTAATATTTCTAGTCCCTTTCTCCAGAAAAGGGGCTCAGAAAAGTTGAGTGATTTGCCCGAGATCACACAGCAAAGCAAATTGCAACAGCCCCCAAGTTCATGTCTGGCTCTGAGGTCCCTTCCCTGTAAACATGTGTGAAAGCAGACAGAGATAAACACCCTGCCTGCCTCCCTGTGCTCCCACCAGCAGGCAGCAGCTCTGTTTTCTACTCCTTGCTGCCAAGCTGGGTCCATAGGGCTGGGATCCGCCTCAGTGGTATGTTTTCTCGGGGGTGGGAGTGGGAGGATCCAACTCCTTTTGTCACACCTGGTGTTAATTTTGGTTCAGGGGAGTTCGGCATTCAATATCAAATGTAGAGGTGTTGCTATTTTTACCGCAACCAGAATGAAGGTAGAGAGAGAGAGAGAGAGAGAGAGAGAGAGAGAGGTTATAGAGTGAGGTGAACCAGCTTCTTAAAGTAGCTTTATCTACAGAGGCAGACACTGCAGCACTGCAGCCACAAACAACCCATCTTGGGGGGGTGGGGGGGCGGGGATAGAGGATGAACGGAGCCCAGTTTCCACTGCTGGCCTAAGCTAGGGTGTGGGGGGCTTCCGAGCTGCTCTTTCTGGACTCAGGCTGAGGGTCCACCTGATTAAGCAATCAGAGTTCTCTGGCCAAACTCATCTACAGCGGCCCGGAATGAAGCTGAAGCCTGCAGCAGAAGGCTGGCCCCTCCCCACAACAGCATTCCGGGCATCCCTGTCCCTTCCCCATCTCCTTTAAAATAGGACCCACACCTCCTGAGCACACAGGGTGGGCTCAAGGGTGACAGCGGGGCCAGGCCCCAGCGTCCTGTGCACAGCCTAGCCAGCAGAGCTCATCTTCAGACATGAGGCTAGCCCCAGACGGGCAGCAGAACCAGAGGTCACATTCGAGTAACTACTACAATTTTTTTAAAAATTACACACAAGGAGCTAGCGGTCCCCCACCTCATCCCTCCCCCAAGGAACACAGACAGGTAACACACAGGTAAGAGCACACTCACCTGCGCTCAGGCCAAACGAGGAATGTCATTGGCTTATTCTGCTGAGCTCCTCGGTGTCTGCTGCTATAGGATACAGGCTTTACTGAACATAGCGAGTCCGTTCACTCCCCTAGTCAAGACCTCGCACCCCGTCTGGAGAAAATCTCCTCGAGGCATCAACCTCCAAGGCATCTAAGTTCCTCCCTTGGGCTGACATCTCGCTCAGTCTGGAGGTGAGCTGGCTGGAGAAGCCTGAGCCTGCAGTCCCCGCTCCAGCAAAGGTGCATTTATTTATCGCAGCTGCTGTTTTCATTAATATAGAGACATACTCAATACGGCTCGGTAATTTTCTCAGCACCCTCAGGCTGGAAAATAAACCACTCCTCCCCGCTGCGTGTGATCAGCTCTCTCCGATTCTGGTTCTAGCTGCCGGCTCAGCATGTGTGCAACTTGAACCGAGGCCCCAAACCAGCCCAAGTGCTGGGCCACCTGTCAGTTCTCCACCCGGGGGTTGGTTCCACAAGCAGGCCCGGAAGGGATCGCCAAGCACTAGCTTAACCTCTGGCTCCACCTAACGGCAAGAGATCCACACTCCCCTTTCACAGATGGGCAAACTGAGCTTCATCCAGAAAGGTCTCCAAAGGAGGAAACTAATTCAGCAAAGAAGACGAACGGTCCTGTTTGGCCTTCCCGGCTGTCATTTTCTCCCCCTGCCATCTCACAGGACGGAATGTGGGTGTCAACATTTTGGTTAGCATCTTGGATTTCTCCAGCCCTTTGTCTGAGACTAAGCACTTCACACATATCTTTCAAACAATCTTTATGGGTGAGTCACTAGAAGGTCTGCTGAATAATGAGGAACAAACACAGAAGCCTGAAATGGAGCCGAAAGACAGAGGCACAAATGGTACCTGAAAGTCCAGCCCCGGGTTCTGGCCCAACATCCTCTCTGACCTTTGCCTTTCTTTCCCAGCACTCACATCCCGTTAAAGCACTTCGGCGCGGGGCAGGGGAAGCTAAGTCGCCGGCTGGCCCGGCCAAGGGAGGGTCTGCGCTCACCTTTAAGTCGGGAGGCTTGCTTCGGGGTCCCGGGTTGGGCGCCGACGCAGCGCCCGCGTCTGAAGTTGGCCCGCCGGCAGAATTAGCACCCATGGCCAGCCCGGGCCGGGGGTCCGCGCCGGGCAGGTGGCAAACGGCATCTTCCAGCCCCGCTCCATCCTCCTCTCCCTGCTGTTGCTGCAGCTCGTCCGATTTGCACCTCTTCATGCTGTATGTGGGTCGGCCCGGGGAATCTGTCCTTCCGGGGAGCCGTCTTGGGGGGAGACCGCACCCCCTCTTAACACTCAGAAACGAGGCCCAGGGTCTAAATGACCAACGAGGGAAGGAGTCGACGGAATACAATTTCTTGGATCGAGAAATAAATCTTTAAAGGAGAGGGAGGGAGGAACGAGGAGGGGAGCCTTGGTTACAGCTTGGAATAGTTCCCGACGACCTGGAGCGCGGAGGCAGAGCACAGTCGAGGCTGGCCGGCGGGAGTCCTTGGGCGGTCATGGCAGCGGGAGGGGGAGGAGGGTGGCCCCCGGCCCCC